CTAGCTCCCCCTAAACCTATTATAAAATATGATTATTTGTCTGCTAAATTACTACTGTAACATTATAATAGATAATAATAATGTCCTTTATACAGTATTTTGGGTGATGACTGATGTGCAATGTGCTGCTGCTGCTTAACTAAGTAAACAAAGACAAAACTACAATAGCATATTTACAGATGAAACTGACCTGCACTTGAAACCCTGAACAGCAGGCCTAGTTTTGCTTCTCTGCTTCCACCTGTGTGCTTCCACAGTCCACTCCATTCTCTCTCTCGCATTGCATTCCCAATCATGACTAACTGATTCATGATTTATTAGAGATTCATTATCGAATGTCGAATTCGCCAGGCAATTAAATAATAACAATAATATTAAAAAAGCGGGCCAGATCGGCTGCCAGGCCACCGGGAATTGTCCCGGTTCTCCCGATGGCCAGTCCGCGCCTGATTTCCACAGACACTCAGAACATGCAGGATTCATATATTGTCTTTTTGCAGCTTACTTTTGATTTAATCGTCCAAAATGTGGCATATTCCGTCCGCGTTAGGCTATAGGAATTCCGTTTTTATGACTGGATTCTACGAATCAGTCTGTGTTTTCCGCATCGCAGAAATTATAGGGCCGTATGTCTCAGAGTAATCAGTGCAATTTGGGAAATAAATCAATTAAATCTGTATGTGGATGTGTGTAAATATTCAAGTGTAATCCCCTTTGTAATCGTTAACATTTTCATAAGTAACTGTAATTTAATTACACATTTTTTCTTAGTAACTGTAACTGATTACAGTTACATTTATTTTGTAATTAAATTACAACAACTAGTTACTCTAGCTGTTGACAACACTGTTGACGACACATGGTTACCATTCACTTAGAAACAGTGCCAACATTCTGTGTTCTAAAATAAAATAAAAAAATCATATAGCTTAAGGATTATATAAATGATAACAGAATGATCATTTTTGGGTGAACTATGCCTTTTATGCAGAACAAGGCATCTTTTTTCTACCTATATAATACATAAAACTGAAGTCTTATTCTTATGTTATTGTACTTATTCTCAACCAAGGGGGCCGGGGTCCACTAAGGGGCATCATAATGACTTAAAATTACTTAAAATAAGTCAAGCTTTAATAAAAATGTCTCAGAAAGCTATGGATATATCCTTATTCAGTAAATCCCAAACAACTGAACAAATAATTCAAATTCATGGGTTAAAAAGAGTGGGAACCTTGAAGAGCATTCAGCTTAAAACTTATGGAATCCTGAAATGTAATGATTTAAATTGTATTATTAATTATAATTATTTTAGTTGCTTATTTTAATATATGGACTCCCATAGTTTGTGTAACCTTGTCTTCACAGCTGATATACCAGAGGAAACCTACTAGCCTTGTCACAAAGTTTGAGAACCACTGTGTTAGTGTACATAATTCAAGTTCACATGTACATTTGTCAGAAATACTTACATTCCTTTAGGTATATAGATAAAATGAACTGCTGGCTAAATGACAGGAAAAATTAACGTAAAATTGTGAAAAGAAACAACTCCATATGAACAGAACTACCACTCAGAAAATGTGTACAGCTACATATGTGTGTGCAGCATAAGTCTCCTGGGCCCAGAATAAGTCTCTTAACACGCAGACACAACAAGGCTTCACATGAACCACTCACCTGCAGCCAAATCCACAAGGCTAAATCCTAGAATTGACTAGATCATTGTAAAAGGCCACTTTAAAATAGTGTTATAAAAACAATTAAAACACCGTTTAATAGATCATGTCACCCAGATACAGTAGTAGTAGTAGAAGAATTTAGAAAAAAAAAAAAATAATTATTCACATTATGGAGTGCATCCCAAGTGCGTCAGAATCCGCAGAGAGCAGGGATTTGCAGAAAAGCTGCTCTTGGCATTTCCCGTTGAGTTTGTCGATGGGGGCATGAGCAGATTTCTCCCCAGGCATGCAAGAGAGCCCTTATAGTTCACGGGCACAGGAATTTAGGGTGTGTGTGTACTGCATTAGCCCTTCTAAGCAGAAAGCAGATGATGCCTGCATTTAGTGTACACATCCAGTTTGGTATGTCTGATAGATTAGAGTATGTGCATGCCAGGGTTCGGGGCAGTGGCCAGCGAGGGAGTTTTAAATAGCTCTCTGGACTAGCTGATGGATTTGGAAGGCCATGAAGGAGAGCTGTTAGCATGATTGAATGCTGCACCAAAGGGTTAGAGGTCATGTACAGCTCATTCCATAGATGAATGTCCTTTAGGTAAATTCAACATCATACGTGGAAATTCATCAAGAATTTCATATGGCTGTTAGATTCTCTAATTGTCAGTTCATAGGTTAGTCTTGGTTATGGTAAAGGCAACAAGAACTAGCATTTAAGTATCAGTTGTTCATAATGTAATGGATATGGTTGTGATTGAAAAGAAAATTAACACATGACAGCCTACTTTTTACTTATCAACGCCTATTTGGTATTTTTAGCTTGGCAGAGGGCACTGTTAAGATATGGTCACATTAGCTAAATTTTGCTGACAAAAAAGATCCATTGACTATTATCAAAGACTTTCAAAGCAAGCAACTGCTGTCAAGTGGTGAAATCATGTGACCAACCTGAAACAGTTGTGAAATCTGCATGGGTAAAACTTTCGTCATCACGCTAAAAATTTCAGCTCGCAAGGACTCCTACTGGAAAAATTCACTGAACAAGGGTTAAATGTGACCACACCTTTACTCAGTTCACATGTGAAGAGGTTAGCCAATCATAACTGAAGTGATTTACCTTTAGAAGTCTTAAAGGTACGGTAGCAATACTTTTGCTTTAATTCTAAGGGTCAAAGAGAAATTGGAAATGGTCACGTAAAACTACATTATGACCATTTTTGGTTCAATAAACCGTGAGAAATACTTACTTGGTGATTTGACTGGAGATTGGCTATTTGTAGAGAATTGTACTGCTGTTCTTCTCACTAGAGCAGGGAGGAAAGCAATTTAACAAGGAACAGAACAGAAAAAATGACAGGAAGAGACATGTGAGTCATCACAGTTATTGAATGCTGTTGTTAAGGAATGTTACATTTTTAAACAAATGTTTATGTGGTAACAGGATTGTGCTAGTGGTGGTGCAGTGTATCCTCACCAGATCCAGGGGATTTGCTGCGGCGGGTGGTTCCTGGACTTTTACTACCAGAGTATCTCACAGGGGGAACAGAACGAGCAGAATAGGAGGACTTGAGGACCTGACATTCTGGACACAGAGACAATATAAATGAGCAAGGAATGTAAATGCTTGTCTTATAATGTCGCATGATGCCTCTTTTGCAAACATTCCCAAAGACACAAGAAAAAATAGGAGAACTTTTTGTCTCCACCCATTCCAAATAATTAATCCTGTTGCCTGGTTGACTAATTGTACATTACATTTCAAAAGTTTGGGGATTTTTAAAAATGTTTTTGAAAGAAATCTCTTACACTCACCAAAGCTGCATTTATTTGATCAAAAATACAGTAAACAGTAATATTGTGAAACATTTTTACAATTTAAATTAATGGTTTAATAAATGTAGCTTATTCCTGTGATATCAAAGCTAAATGTTCAGCATCCTTACTCCAGCCTTCAGTGTCACATGATCCTTGAGAAATCATTCTAATATACTGATTTACTGCTCAAGAAACATTTCTTATTATCATTAATGCTGAAAACAGTTGTGCTGCTTCACATTTTTTGAAACATCAATACATGTATTCATTTTTATTTATTTATTAATTTTTTAGTAACAATAAAAGTATGGCAGTGTTGCCAGACATAAGATAATCATTGTATTTGTACGATAAGTATCGTATTTGTATGATACTTTTGACCTCTGTACGATGTATGATCAATAATGAAAAACGTCTCAGGTTACGTATGTAACCCTGGTTCCTCTAGGGAACGAGACGCTGCGTCGGAAAATGCTAGGGGAACGCCTTCTGTGACCACGCTTTGAATAACATGTGAAATCAGTCCAATAGCTGAGCGGGACGTCACGGGCGGGTGACGTCATGACCAGGAAGCTATAAAAGCACGTGCGGCGGAGCCAGCGTCAACTTCAGGAATGAGGCAAGCGCTGGCAGGGATGCCGGAAGTATGGCACCGAGACGCAGCGTCTCGTTCCCTCGAGGAACCAGGGTTACATACGTAACCTGAGACGTTCCTCTTCAGGAACTCGAGCTGCGTCGGAAAATGCTAGGGGAACGAGAATGCCCACGCTGCCAGACTTCCAAATCTCTGCCTAGTGTGGAAGACTGCACAGCTAGGGCGAGAGAAGTAGGCGGGGCCCGCCATCCCGAAGGCCAACTTCTGGAGGAGTGAATCTTGACCCCCAAAGGAGAGGGGAGATCAGAGGACTCGAGGCTATGGAATAGCATCCTGATCCACCGCTTAGCATAAGCTTCTCTGGCCGGAGGCCTCGGCCTCAGCGCATCGCAGAGGAAATAATCAGGCCTGAGACCCAACTCGGCCCGGCCAGAACAGGGATACTAACAACAGACGGGCCTCATCCCGGCGCACTCTCTCCAGAACTCCCGGGAGCAGCAAAATCTGAGGAAAGGCGTACAGACGAAGCCTCGGCCAGGTCTGTACCATGGCATCCAGCCCCAGTGGAGCTGGATGAGTTAGAGAGAACCAGAGGGGACAGTGTGATATCATATGAGTCTATTCCTCAGAATTAAATGCAATCAAACAACCAGATGAGTAAATACGGTCTAGTGTAGTAAGATTCACATCAAAAACCGAAATGATGTAATATATGCGCTGCGCGCGAGCCATTCAGTCACACGAACAACATCAATCTCCTAAGAGAAAGAGGGCCGCAGCACTCACTCAGAAGGGGAAGAACCGCAGCGCGGGCTTCCAAGCCCCGAGAACGAGCTCTAGATCTAGAAAACACGGGTGGAGAGTCATTAGTAACCCTTTGAAATAATCAATAATTTTTTTTTTTTTTGGAAAATTGTGTGAAAAATTGTATTTTATGGTCAGTCACAATTGTAACCGGAGGGATAATGTGTATACTGAATTAACATATTTCTGCAGTCTTAAAAATTGTTATATATCTTAGCCCAGCTATTTTAA